GCTACTTCCAGTGGGTGTCCATTGCAAAACTGCTGAGGAACCGCCATATGCCGCCACTACGGCAACACGGGAGGCTTCCCATGTTGCATTGGATCAACAGGAGGAAGCCGGACAGTGGATGCTTCCCCCATGGGATGAGATAGTGGGGAAGCTGGGCAATGCAGAATAAGGCCATGGGTTGCATTAATGAAGTGCTCAACTGAACATACATGTTCTTTCAAGCCACAACCCAATTAGTAAGACTGAGGCTCTTTCTACACAGCTGTATAAAATCCAGATTATCTGATTTGAGGTGGCTTATATGGCAGTGTAGACTCAGATAATCCAGTTCAAAGTAGATAATGTGGATCATCTGCCTTGATATTCTGGATTACATGACAGTGTAGAAGGGCCCTCATTGTACTTTCATTCTAAAATATATGTCACTCTTCCACTGGAGAACCGTCTTAGAAAATCTAAGGCAGAATAAATTTGTTTTCACAGGTAGGCTGCACAGATTTCTTTTTAAACATCCAGCACTCAGCTGCTTTCTCTCCACAAAGAAACTCTCTGTGGGAACTAGTAGTCTGCTGAGTGCAATGTATTAGGGGAAGCATCTGTCTAACGTACTGTGCCGCTTTAATGAATAGAACTGGACAGCATGGGAAAAGGTCACTTGGTTGGAATCCAGTCATACCAGAGGAAACGAAATGAAACAGAGTTCTGAAAATAAATCCTAGTTCTAGTCTTTTTCTATTATATTTATCATCTATATTAGGAATATTAAATAGCATTTCCTTTTGAGGACAACACTCTGATTGGAAAAAAAAAAGCCAGCATGGATCTATCAAGAATAAATCCTGCCAGGTGACTCTTTCATTTATTGATCTGATTTCTGTCTTGCTTGGGGAACATTATCTATGATATTTAGGAGGAAATATTGAAGGAATTTGGTGTATTTAGTCTGGAAAAGGCATAGCTGAGAGGAGATGGGAGGGCAAATATGGTAGTTCAATATTACAGGGATTTCAAACGGGGAAAAGTCGAAAGTCCATTATCTGCTAGAGAAGGGTCTAGATCTAATGGAGATTAAGTTGCCACTAGGGGTGTGCAAAGCTTCAGACCTTTGTTTCGTAATTCGGAGATTCATATGATTCTTTAATGCAAATCTACGAATTACTAATTGGAAAGAAACCCTTCAAAGCATTTATGAATTGAAACAGTAGCCTTTGAAACTTTCGGAGAGATTTGTAAAGATTTGTTGTTTTGGAGCTTTTTTTCAATGTTAAACATATTCTGTCATTCATAATTTTCTGGGGCAGGTGGTGGCAGGGGCTGTGATAAACAAAGGCAGATGAATGCTGTTTTTTTTCTTTTTTAGCCAATCGGAAGAAGAAAGGCAATCACATGGCTTTCCTCCCCTCAGCCTCTCTGTGTTTTTGTGGTATTGGCAGGAGAGAGATAAAGACGTGTGTTTGGAGATCTGTTCTATTTCTGTGTGTTTCTTACAACTTAAACTTATAGTAGCTTTTTGATAATTCAATTTGTTTCTGTCACTTCACATCCAATCTATAACCTTCCTCTTTTGAAACTATCCAACCCCAAACTGCAGCACATTCTTCTGACATGAGCAGAATTTTGGGAAATGTATTTTGGGAAAATGAGGATCTCTGTAACAGGGTATTCAAATAACTCCACTCTAAACTACATTTCCCAGAATACTGCTCATGCCAACAGAACAGGGCTGCCTGCGTAAAAGCCCGTGTGGGTTAATCACATGTGCTTACATTGAAAAAGTCTTCAAAAATCAGTGGGTAGACTAATTGTGCTGAAACTTGGCAGGCTTGCTGCCCTGTTTATGTTGTCTCATTGTGCCAAAATTTAAGGGGATACCTACTTGTAGTTTTTTAAAAATATTTTTCAATTGAAAAGACTTTTAAAAATTCCTAAATATCACTAGATGAGCGAATCTTTCTGAATCTTTGTAGGATTGTTTTCTCATTGTGCAGAAATTCAAGGAATGCCCCTTGTAGTTTTTTTAATTGTAAAATCGTTATAAATTTCCTTAAAATCAGTGGATGACCAAAACACTCTGAAATTTGGCAGACTTAAAGTTGTAAATGTAGCCTACAAGTGTGCCAAGTTTGATCTTGATAGTCATAAAAATGGAGAAACAATCCTCAATTTTTTCCCATTACTGCTAATGAAACAAATCTTAATGAAGCAATTACGAAGCTTCAAAGATTTGGATTACAAATTGGAACAGGACCCCTCCAAATCTTCATGAATTGAAGCGGGAGCATCAGAATCTTGTATACAAATTATGAATTGGATATCAGCAGTTTCACATACCTCTAGTTGCAACTACTGTCTCTAGACTCAACCCACTAAAATCTGCCTGTGGTATAACCCCTATCTTTCCCCATTCCGCATTCTGAAAAGGGAAAGAACAGTCTCTCTTGCTAGCCTGCTGAAATCAACAGATCAAGCCAAACACTGTTTCATTTATTTTCATTTATTTGGATTTGGATTTGGGTGAGTAGTCCACAGTCAGTTTACTCAAGTGTAGTCCCCAAAAATGATGGCAGAGAACAATCAATTGGGCATAGAAATCAGTAGGAAATCTCACGTTAAAAGAGCAAAGTATATTTCTCTAACATGTATTTTGAAATTCTGGCTAGTAACCAAAGAACTAAACATATATTTCTGCACAACCAAGAAGGGTTTGGTTGATTTTTCTAGAACCACAGTTCTTCCATACCACACAGCAAACTTCTCCCTAAGAGAAAGAGGCTATGTTGTTCAAGGCATACAAAAACAAAAATTCCATCAGATATGTCTTTGCTCTCATTGCAAGACAGACCTTTGAATCATAGTCAGCTCCACATTTTTTTAGTTTGTTCAGTATCAAATGTGTAGTAATTCATTGCATTTCAATCAGCTTTATCACTGCCAAATATTTCACAGCAATAATCTGATGAGGAATGATGCTGTTTTTCCACCATGGGAGACAAGAGTCATAGTGAAGGGTGACTGAAATGTTACTAAGGAAGCACATCTTGGAACACTATTCCTACTTCAGGACTGGGCCTGCATCATCACAAACTGACTAATCTCTTAAGCCTCTGTAACAATTTAATAGAGGATTTTTACCTTGTTCTTCATAAAAATAAATAACAGACTGCTGAACAATGTGCTTCTAAAGTACTAATACAGGTAATGAGAATCAAATAGGAATATAGAAATGCCAATGCTAACACTTTTCCAGACACTACTTTCTTCAATCACATTAGAAAACTATCCTTATTATTCCTATCCAGCAGTCCAGTTGCCCAGTGATGCTCATAGCTAAAGTCCAACAATTCTGGAAGGTGCCAGCAGGGGGGAAGATTGGTAAAGAAACATAATTCTGAATTTCCCTTTGCTATACCATGGCTATTATACTGAATATACAAAGAATATAAAGAAATCCCACTGACACAACATCTCAATGAACCAGTACATGTGAAAAAGATCTTGGAGTCCTTGTGGACAACAAGTTAAACATGAGTCAACAATGTGATGCTGCAGCTAAAAAAGCCAATGGGATTTTGGCCTGCATCAATAGGAGTATAGTGTCTAGATCCAGGGAAGTAATGCTACCCTTCTATTCAGCCTTGGTCAGACCACACCTGGAATACTGTGTCCAGTTCTGGGCACCATAATTTAAGAGAGATATTGACAAGCTGGAATGTGTCCAGAGGAAGGTGACTGTAATGATCAAGGGTCTGGAGAACAAGCCCTATGAGGAGCGACTTAAAGAGCTGGGCATGTTTAGCCTGCAGAAGAGAAGATTGAGAGGAGACATGATAGCCATGTGTAAATATATGGGAGGGAAAATCATAGGGAAGAGGGAGCAAGCTTGTTTTTTTCTGCCCTGGAGACTAGGACGCGGAGCAATGGCTTCAAACTACAGAAAAGGAGATTCTACCTGAACTTTAGGAAGAACTTTCTGACTGTGAGAGCTGTTCAGCAGTGGAACTCTACCCTGAAGTGTGGTGAAGGCTCCTTCTATGGATGCTTTTAAACAGAGGCTGGATGGCCATCTGTTGGGGATGCTTTGGATGCGATTGTCCTGCTTCTTGGCAGGGGGTAGGACTGGATGGCCCATGAGATCTCTTCCAACTCCATGATTCTATGATTCTATGGTTAAAGACCCAACTGGAATAGATCCACTGAAACAATAGAATCTTTGTTACGTTAATACTTACATGAGTTCAATTAATGTCATAGGTCTATTTTATTTACTTACTTTATTTTTATCCTGCCTTTCTCCAAACATAGGGACTCAAGGGAGTGAACAGGAAATATCAATTCTATTGAATTAAATGCTAATGCAGACAAAATAATGTGTTTGAGAAGCTCATAATTGATAAACAAAATGAAATTAATAGAACAGTAAATGGCTTGGTACTTTGGTACTTGAAGGTACATTTCTCCCTGTATATGCCTGCCTGAAGATTAAGAGGGATGTCCCACCACTGAGTTTAATATTTCATGCTGGGACATGAGACAGTGCCTTCTCATCTATGGCACCCCAGTTGTGGAATGCTTTCCCCTGGAGGCTGAACTGGCACCAACACTCATGGCATATCGATGCCAAGTCAAAACTTGACTTTTTATAAGAGCCTTTGGGCTTTATTAACTCATCCTAAAAATGGTACACATAGTTTACTTTTTTAAAAAGCAAAACACCCTTTAAAATTGGTTTATATTGTATTACTACAGGTATAAAACTGTATTAATTCTATAGCCTAAGTGCAACTTGAATCTTACAAAAACAAATAGTTTGGTAGAGAGTGATCTTACACATGCTTTTAGTGAATGGGAAACATTGACTGGTTCTTTTCTATTTCTTTCATCTTTGTAATCAATGAATAAAAATTAAGTTTTGGCTATAAAATTAACAACAGAAAATATAATTTGGTAGCATGTATGGTGACACCTTAAACAATTTAACTAAAGAAAAAAACTGAGTTTACCTTTGCAGTAGAAAGGCTAATGATGTGCTGATCTTTTTCATTGGTGACAATCTCTGTAATACTAAATAAATGCCCCATCAGCTTTCCCACTGGCTTTGTGTTGATGTTAGGGTGCCACAAGCGTAGAATTTTATCATCTCCTATGGATAGAAATTAATTACTGGGTCACTCTGCATCACATTTGTAGAGAGTTAGCAACTGGATGATTCTGGGAGAAATGACATTTTAGAAAGTAATTTTTGGACTGCCTAGTAATCCAGTGCTACTATTTTTACAGATCTACATTCATTTGTATGTGATGAAAGGAAACTTAAACTTGTATGAGGATTAATATTTTCTTGTAGAAGCAATGTGTTCTCATATTAATCTCTCTGTCTTAGGCAGGAAAATCTGTCAGTCTGCAAGAAATGAATCTGCTGGATTTATATTCATTTGTTGTATTGATATCCACAGTGGCATTTGGGAATTTCTAACCCAATGGTGGAACTGGGAGATAGCTATATAATATACATCTTCATTGTAGACACACCTGCTTGACCAGTATAGCCATATAACTGGTGTGGTTATAAAAAACATTATCAGATGGCAGAGCCAGTGGGGGTTTGGTAAATTAAAGAAAGGAATCGTGAACAGATAGTATTTTTCAGTTGCCCCGTTTCATGACTTTTCCTGTCATCAGACATATCAAACTTTGGAGTGCTTCCCGCAGGAATCCAATATCTTCCTCATCATACAGAACCAAGAAGTCTCCACTCCCCATGTGTATTTTTGTTTTTAGAAAGTATTCTTAACATTTTAATAATATCCAAACGGTAAAATTGTTCTGCCCCAAACCCCATATGATACAAGAGACAGTGCTTTAGTTTAAAACCATTTCTTTCTATGGGATAAAATTGTTCTGTCCCATATGATGCAAGAGACAGAGTTCCAGTTTTAAACCGTTTCTTTCCATGGGAAGAAATAACCATGCATTTCTATAAACAGAGATGGCAGCTCACTATTCTAAGGACCACCCATTGGAATGCTTCTCTTTACCATACCAAACACCAAAACAAGACAGAAACTGTCACAGACCCCATCCCATGTCATTTTGAGACAAAACAATGTGTCCTTCATGCTTTTTTGCTAATTTCATGATGTCTCTCTGTGATCACAGGTCAACCCAAATTAACAGGGAGGGGGGCAGGAGCAATGACCAGAAGTATGACTGTTTTGCCTGATGGCAGTTGTGACTCCCTGTTATTTTACGGTGGCTGATAGTGAAGTAAGGGAGGGGGGAATTGTCCATCTGATGAGGTCATATGACAACAAGTCCTCTTATAACTCAAGATCTTTACATGATATATTTTTTCAATAGGTCTGCCTTTCTTGATAAGGAGTGAGTCTTGTTTTCCTGTATTACATCCTACATGTCGTAACTACAGCAACACAATATCTTGAGTAACTGTTTTTTACTCCTAAATCAATGTCAGCTTTTTCCACCAGAACCTATTGATTTTGTGTTGAACAAATGGACAAAACACCTAGCAACAAATAACAGCTTGCTCAGAGTAATATTTTGTGATTTTTAGTTACAAAGGAAGATGGAAGAGTAGATGACCTTTTCAGAATTGCAATTTCTTAAGCTGTTTTTTTAATGGAATTTCAAAGACTGGCTTCAGCAATTTGCTTCTGTCAATCATTCATGGAGGACTAGATGAGGCGAGTATGTTGCACTGTGTGGTCATTTGTTTGTGAAGCCAGTTACAGTACACAGGGTTGAAAAGTAAACACATGAGGTCCAGCTTTCTGCTGTTAATCTTTTCTTCTTCCAGTCCTATGCTTTTGCTTTTAAAAAAGTATTTAGAGGAGGAGAGGAAAAAAGAGATGCTTTGAGCACAGTATTAGCTCCTCCTGATAATCCCAGCGTCTCTTGCCTTGCTACAAAGGAGCAGTTTTTTAAAGAACAATCTGCTCTATGTGTGCCATTAGTTCCAGGTATACAATTTTACTCAGGGTGCCAGCACAAAGATTTCCCCTTAAAATGTTATCTCTGCACTCTAAAACTAAAGTTGATTCTTATGTACTTTCCATCTTGGTCAACTCCAGTGCTTTTTTATGATGACACATCAAACACAAAAAAGATTTGGCATGTGGGTAGATAAGTTCAGAAGTGACTGCATAGTTCCTGGCATGTGTCAAGAAACGGTGTTTGTTGTGGAACTAGTTCAGGGAACTCAAGGAGGTAGTCAGAACTTGGGCTGGTTACTGATGTCTGAGAACAGAAAGGCTTCACAGTGTGTCAGGACCTCTGAAACATTCACTTGATGAATTCTGTCAACAGACTGATGAGTAAGAAAGGACACAATCTCTGTTTTCCTCTCCCTCCCAAGAATAGAATTAAGGGATATTTTAAGCCTGTTTTCCTCAGTAAACAAAATATTTGCTGAAGTGGAAAAAACATGGCTTTTAAATAGATATTTTCATTGACAATAACCCATTGTAGAATGCATTTCTATAGCCAACAGAATCTGACACGTTTTTGGGAGAAATGCATGATTTCAACAAAGACAGCAGTTAATAAAAGTAACAATTTCTTTTTAAAATGAGTATTGGGTTTTTACTAGGTTCTTGTGGGTTTTTTCGGGCTATAGAGCCATGTTCTAGAGGCATTTCTCCTGACGTTTGCCTCTATGGCAAGCATCCTCAGAGGTAGTGAGGTCTGTTGGAATTAGGACAATGGGTTTATATATCTGTGGAATGGCTGGGGTGGGGCAAGGAGCTCTTCCCTGCTGCAGTTAGGTGTGAATGTTTAGCTGATCACCTTCATTAGCATTTGAAGGCCTGCCTGAGCCTGGGAAAATCTGTTGCTGGGAGGTGTTAATCTGTGCCTGGTTTTTTCCTCTCTGTTGTTTGGCTGTTATAATTTTAGAGTTTTTTAATACTGGTAGCCAGATTTTGTTCATTTTCATGGTCTCTTCCTTTCTGTTGAAATTGTCCACATGCTTGTGGATTTCAATGGCTTCTCTGTGTAGTCTGACATGGTGGTTGTTGGAGTGGTCCAGCATTTCTGTGTTCTCAAATAATATGCTGTGTCCAGGTTGGTTCATCAGGTGCTCTGCTATGGCTGACTTCTCTGGTTGAAGTAGTCTGCAGTGCCTTTCATGTTCCTTGATGCGTGTCTGGGCGCTGCGTTTGGTGGTCCCTATGTAGACTTGTCCACAGCTGCATGGTATACGGTAGACTCCTGCAGAGGTGAGAGGATCCCTCTTGTCCTTTGCTGAACGTAGCATTTGTTGGATTGGGTTTTTGTTTCTTGGTCAATGTGTTCAGAAGATTTATGTGCTTTGATTTTGAATAAAAACTAATGGGTTGATTTTTTTTCCTGAGGAATTTTTATCCCTGATCTTTTAATAATTTGTTGTTTATTCGTTCAGTCGCTTCCGACTCTTCGTGACCTCATGGACCAGGCCACGCCAGAGCTCCCTGTTGGCTCCGGCCACCCCCAGATCCTCCAAGGTCAAGCCAGTCACTTCAAGGATACCATCCATCCATCTTGTCCATAGTCAGCCCCTCTTCCTTTTTCCTTTCATTTTCCCCAGCATCTTTATCTTCTCCAAACTTCTCCTCATGATGTGGCCAAAGTACATCAAAGTATATCCTTCCCTCCAGTGAGCAGCCGGGCATTATTTCCTGGACTGATTTGATCTTCTTGCGATCCAAGTCACTTTCAGAATTTTCCTTCAACACCACAGTTCAAAAGCATCTATCTTCCTTTGCTCAGCCTTCCTTAGGGTGCAGCTCTTGCATCCATAGGTTACTATGGGGAATACCATTGCAACAGGTATTTTAATTTTTCCTTGAAAACTGAACTAGATAGAGTTGTTTGTTGTTATATTTCTTTATTCCCTGCCTTTTTCCCAATTCAGGCTTACAACAAATTAAAAAGCACATAATTAGAATCCACAAGATACTTTAATTTTTTTAAAAAAAATCCAAAAATTAAAAGCAAATTAAAACCTTAAACACGTAATATCCACACCAGTACTACAATAGAACTTGAGTAGTGGAAGTCATAGTGAATTGTATTGTGCGCTCCCTGCTGTTCAAGGTAAGCAGCAGTAGACATTGGACAAACCAGGGATTCATGAAACTTTGTATTTTAGCAAAGCTTTGGTGCTCCACTTGTAATTTTGGGTCATGAGGTGGGTTTCCCTACATATTATATTTGGTCTCATGTATATATTACATTAATTTTTATAGTTTTGCACATAGGAATGATTACAAACAATAAGAATAAATTTTCTGTAACCAAGCCATTTTGAAAGTGATTATAAAGATTTAAATATGTTGAACTGAATACATTTCACTTACCTCCAGTAACAACAATATTGGCTTTTGTGCAATATGTGAAGGCATTCACTCCTCTTGGTATAGAAAATTCCCTGACAGCTCTGGAATCACAATAGTATATTTGATCAAATAGAAAATAAAAAGAAATTTTAATGATTCATTTTTATTCATCACTTTATGTCAAGATACATAGCAAACTTTTTAATACCATAGGTCTGCAGTGGAAAGCTTTGAACTAGAGCTTCAAATTCTTTCAAAGGAACAGATGGTGTTTTACTCAAAATAGTAGAGCTTTATGTGATTAAAAATTCAAACTTGCATTCCTTTCTTCTTGCTATTCATCTACAGATGAGTATAAAGATCTCATCACATTGAGGTCCTTAAGCAGTGGGAAAGCGGGGGCATCCATGGGGCAGCAGGGTAAATCTGGTAGGCAGCAGGGGAAACAACTGCCCCGTGCCTCATATTCCCCCCTTCCCCATCCCACAGGAGAAATTGTTGCTGCCCAGATTCCCCCCACGCTTTCCCCAGTTTACCTAATGAGAACTCTCCCATGTTTTCAGGACTCTATCCTAGGAGCTTTGCATCATGTGATGGGTTCTGTTGGGCTCCATCCTGGAAACATCCCAGGACAGAACCCAGACCTCATGTGATGATGCTCCTAGTCATCCTTCATCATGTCCATATAGTGCTAGTGATAATGATAAAAGTCATGTATTCTTATATTATCCAGATTAAGGAAGACAGGTCTATCTGGAACAGCAATGATCTTGAGGAATATAGTTCAACATTTGAACATTTGCCTTCTTTGGCACAAAAAGAATGTGAGGAATAAGCACAAAGAAACAAAACATGGGTTATGTTTAAATAAGTAAAATAAAACATCTGTATTACTATTCACCCCAAAATCAATGTTGGCAGTCTTCAAAATGTATTATGACTTCTGGCAATAATCCAACCTTCTTCCATAGTTAGCTCTTAACCCAACCTTCTTCCATAGTAAGCAAGATCAGAGACTCTGGAGCAGTGTTTCTTAAACTCTACTTCTCCAGGTGTTTTGGACTTCAGCTCCCAGAAATCCCAGCCAGTTTACCAGCTGTTAGGAGTTGTGGGAGATGAAGTCCAAAACATCTGGAGGAGCACAGTTTGAGAAATTCTGTTCTAGAGTGTCCTCAGAGTTTGCAACTATGTGAGCAACTAGATTGGGTTCTGTTCAGCCTGATTTATTGTCCATATCCAGAAATGAACACAAATGGCCAAGCTTTTGCAGGGAATTTCTTGTCTGGCCAAGAGTGGTGGTGATGATAATGCAAGAACAGGGCAGCAAGAAAATGGGGTGAACAATCTGAGCACATGGCCCCATATTTAGGAGGTATGTGTTAGATCAGAAACATTCTGGGACACAAATGTCACAGAGTAACTTCCCCCATGTAGACATGCCCGTAGATGGAAAGAAGAGTAGATAGGAGAGTATTCTTTTGCTTTAGGGTTCCTGATATCCTACAATGATACCCTATCATTGTGCACTGAATCTGTCTGTAGAGTTGGAAGAACTCTGCTCTATTGACTATGCTGTCTTCCAGTTGCAATAATGGGAAAGCAAAATGTGCTCAATTGTACATCTGTGTCCTACCTACCAACATGAAAGAGCTAATATGCCTGATATAAACAGTCACATCTGTACAATCTACATTCTATATTAGTTGCCAGAAAGGCCCATAGTCCTACTTGTCTTCTAGAAGGTAGTCTTCCCATCTGTTTTCATTCTCAAGATATTAGCTGACTGGTCTTGCTTTTCCTAAAAGAGTAATCTGTACAATTGAGAAATTTCATCTATTTTGCCCTTCTGAAAAGAAGTGGAAGAATGTTGAGCCCTCTTGATCTTCAACAAGGATGGAGAACCTTGGTTCTGTGGGATTCACTATCTACTCTTACATTTCTACTGGTATCTCTGGTCAGTGCCTGGATTTCAGAAATCAGATATTATGGTATTTAAAGTTCAAGTAGTTATTGTAGATAGGTTTGCAAACTTTCAATTGTTCTTATTCTCATTGAGAATGATACTCCATGTAATGGACCCTTTCTTCTAGTATTTCACAGAATTGTACAGGAATCCTCCATTTTTATTCTAACAACAACTATGTGAGATATGTGAAGTTGTCAAGATCATTGAGTAAGTTTTAAGTCTAAGTAGGAACCTGGGCCTTCAATTCCAAATCTAGTATTTTATCCACAACACGATGTCGATGACAGTATGTTACAAAATTTGAAACCTTATCTGTTCCTGATTTGAAAGTGTTATTTCCTCTTTAATTTTGTGGTACTTACTTTGAAAGTAGTTGTTATACTCCAGAAACTTCGTTTTTGTGGCTACAAACTATGTTGAATTGGTTGGAATTCTATGAGATATTCATTGAAAAATATAGCAAAATGTACTGTAGGATGTCCCGCAAAAATAAAGTTTGTTGCAGTTTAATAAACTTTTTTCATGTTTTCCTGACAGATCCAATTAGGAAATGACATTTATAACCCAGGAACAAAAGTCGTATTACATAGTGTTATTGTTACATTATCAAGATCAGCAAATGACTTAATCCACTGTGAAATTGGTTAGGTTATTATAATGCCAGCCAGGTACCAAAGCTAATAGAGATTATGTTTAATTTTCATATGAGATTGAACACATAAAATTGTGGGTTAATTCTATAGCATATATTTAGATTTGTTTATGAAAATCATACACAAAAGAACTTAGCAATGTTGATTTTAGAGCTTCCTTTAAAAGGTGCTTTGTGAGTTTGATCAGTTGTATGAAGAATCATTTTGGCAGGCCTTTGGTTAATTCATTTTAAGAGATATTTTAAGTTAACCTCTATTTTAAAAATGAGAAGTAGATCCCATGATTATTGGTATGATAAACACATTTTTCATCGTGACTTACATGTTGTCTTCTAGCCTTCTGAGGTCATCCAGTACCAAAGAATGAACACTGTCCAAAGAGCATGATCCAAAACAATTCAAGGTTGGAATATATTTTACTTTCACCACCCAGTCATTATGCAGCTTGCGTTTAATACTAAAGAGAAAAGGCATATTTGCATATATTAAAAATGTTAAATTTCCTTGACGTCCTGGCAGGATATGTACAATTAGAAAAGGATCTCCAGACAACCTTTGATAAAATCATTACAGGTTGAGCATGCCTAAACCCATGCAAAAATGTGAAAAATAGGATTGGGTGTAGTATGCACCATGCATACAAATTGCATATGAAATACCCAAGTGTTGCCAAACCAACATAATCTGTGTACACAATAGAGACTTGGGAAATGGCACATTTCGCAGGAATGAAAAATATTGAGGGAGGAAAAGCCTTTGGAGGGAACTTCCTCAAATAGTTTATTGAAACCTAACAAGTGGGTTAATATTTTAGAGATAATGGTGAAAGAGATGGAATGGAGTATCAATCATCCTAAAAAGCATGTCTGGCTGGAACCTTCAAGACAAAAACTCCACATTTTAAACTTTTATTACAGGATCAATTTATCAAACAGTACACACTGTATTTTTAACAAGAATACTTGAAACAAAAAAATTCTCTTAACAATGTTCTTATTTTGTTTGCTTTCCATCATAAGATCCATTTCAACACTAAATGTTAAGTCCCATTAAGGAGAATCCTTGATGAGCCTATACTTACTTTTTGAATTTCTTAGAATCTATCACCATTATTTGTGATTTTTTTTTAGATTTGGATTGTTTTAGACCAAAATCGTCACTGGTCATAGAAAACAAGTTTACAAATCCTGCATCATCTCCCATTAAGATGTCATCCTTCACAAGCAATTCTGCTGGTCGGTGAACGGAACAGACAGAGAGGAGACAATGTTCCATCGGTTTGATAATAAAACAGTTATCCTAGCAAATAAAACAAACAGGTTGTTAGGTGTATTGATATTTGCTCTTCCAAAGAAAATGTAATAAAATACGCATCCCTGAAGAATGTCAAAACAGGGACGTTCAAGTGCTAGTAAAGTATGACTTTTCAGGGCTAGGGAAAGAAAAAGGCACTGGGAAAACCCAGGGGAGATTACGAATGGAAGAATCCAATTTCTGTTGTTGTTCATTCGTTCAGTCATTTCTGACTCTTCGTGACCTCATGGACTAGCCCACGCCAGAGCTCCCTGTTGGCCATCACCACCCCCATCTCCTTCAAGGTCAATCAAGTCACTTCAAGGATGCCATCCATCCATCTTGCCCTTGGTCGGCCCCTCTTCCTTTTTCCTTCCATTTCCCCCATCATTGTTGTCTTCTCTAAGCTTTCCTTTCTTCTCATGATGTGGCCAAAGTACTTCATCTTGGCCTCTATTATCTTTCCCTCCAATGAGCAGTCGGGCTTTATTTCCTGAAGTATGGACTGGTTGGATCTTCTCGTAGTCCAAGGCACTCACGGAACTTTCCTCCAGCACCCCAGTTCAAAAGCATCTATCTTCCTTCACTCAGCCTTCCCTATGGTCCAGCTCTCACATCCGTAGGTGACTACAGGGAATACCATTGCTTTTACTATGCGGATCTTCGTTGCCAGTGTGATGTCTCTACACTTCACTATATTATCAATTTTGGACATTGCTCTCCTCCCAAGAACTAAGTGCCTTCAATTTCTAGGAGTCCCTATATTAATGAGGCAAGGCAGTAAGACACATTTAAGTCTAATTGGGAAACACCTATGGTGCTTTCAGATGAATCAAGCATCACTACTTCTTTTCCTGCTCATTTTTAATAACAAAAATGCAGTATAATCTGGGAATATGAAACTTCAGCATAAACTACCAGAACATATGGATTGTAAGTTTTGCTTTGTTTGGAAAAAAGGTCATGATTATGACTTGGTACCATACCATGGCTGTCCCTTGTGTTTTATAATCCCATATGATGATGCTTCTTTCCGTTATTGCAACCACACGCTTGAGCTGACTCAGGAAATCACATCCACTTATCCAGGAACTATCCTAAGGAAAGATAAATGTCAACAGAATCAACTACACCATTATTTGCAGGAAATAACCATGCTATATAACTGATGTCTGAAGTTTTCTTATGAGGTTGATTGCTATGAAGAATTGGAGAAATAATTATCAGCAAAGTTGATCTTGCTTGAGTTTACTCTTTGATTTTGCTTAGGGAATTGGAAATAATATGCTTTTTTATATAAGTGTGAAGGTATTTTAATTATAATTTATTCTATGTGTACCCTGATTTCCTCCCAATAATTCAGAGTAAATTGCTTAATATTTCAGCATGCTCCTCAAGATGATTTTACAGTCAAACCAGGCACAACTATTTCTTAAATGTAATGCTAACTCAATCATGCACAAAACAGATGTTGGGACAGTTTTGGAAGGTACAAAATTTTCCTCAAAACAAACTCCAAAGCCTTCTTTCCCCCCACCCACTATAAGTACAGGTTCCTCAGTTGATCTACAGGACTGATAATGGGTTTGACTGGTGGAAAAAGATAGGCAAGGGATAGGAGAACAATTCATGTCCCTCATACTTTTCTCTTCTTGCTCTTAGAATCAGTAGCCCCCTCCTTGCTTTATTGGGGTTTCAACAGGATGGATACTTTAAAAAAAACCAATATAAAGCAGAAGACCATGTTCAAGGACAAACGAAGTATAATTGCTACAGTATGTTGACTTCAAGATTTCGTGGCAGGGGTGATATTTGATTGCTGGTGAAATCAAGGACAAAATCAATACAAAGCAAGCAGCTGTGAAACATTCTCTTACTCAACAATGCCCTGTTCATCCTGAAAAAAAAATATTAAGAGTCAATGATGTTCAATAATTGTCTGAGTTCAAGTAAATTAAAAGCTTGGAAAACACACTATCAATTTGTGGGAAAAGATGATCAGACGTAACCTCTTTTTTATAGTAGTTTGGGGTTGAAATGAGATTTTTCATGCCAAAAATATACTGTTTTGGGTTCTCTATTACTATACACAGTGACTGGCTTGACTCTGAAGGAGCTGGGGGTGGTGATGGCCAATAGGGAGCTCTGGCATGGGGTGGTCCATGAGGTCACGAAGTCGGAAGCAACTGAACGAATAAACAACAAATTACTTTACACAGGACGGGGGTAGCTTACTTTAGAATGATAAATAAGACTCATTAGCTTAACAGGAAGTCTTATATTCCTGGTGAGATAAACCTGCAAGAACTGGTTTGTTGATATAAATCAACATACGTGCTTCCATTTTTTAGTCCTTTTGCAGATAGTTATGAGGATTGTCATTGTTTGTGACTCTGTTTCAGAACTGAATCTTACATCGGTGTTCCTGTTTCAATAATCCAAAAATTAATTTCACATCCATGGGTTTTGTACTATATAAATAGAAAACTGCAGAGTACTTTGTGATTTGTGTGGAGAAATTGGAAAAGTTAATACGTTTGTAAATCAAATTTTGGAGGCTAAAACAGTAGCGGGCCGCATTTCTGCCTCGAATCAGAAATTCTGTTTTCAATGCATGACGGTAACAAGGTCTAACCATGTTAAAAAGGAAATGGTTGCAGTGCCATTATCTAACTTGCCCAAATGAATATAGTGAGGAACATGCAGGCCTGTCATGGGAACATATTCTTAATAAGAAGAAAGTGCAAGTAATTTGATCACAGGAAAATATAATGTAAAGAAAAGATGGTGCTTTCACATTTCAAGAGTCTGCGAGGGAAGCTATACTAATTAATGGATTTATTACCCACTGGTATACCAGCAGCAGCTGTTAGGCATTAAATAAAATAACCTTTAACTAGAAAGGAAGACTTGCTCAAAATAGATTCAGTCCCCAGGAAAATTATTTTAAAAACGATAGTGGCATCTTAGCAAGAACCTTTTCCCACACATAACCAATAATCTCTAAAAGGTTTGGGAGCACAGCACTGATAATTTCTGATGGTTTAGACATTTTCCCCCTAAGCCAAGATCTTTTGGGATATGTGGTATGACGAACTTCATTTTAGCCATGGGAAAATATACTGTAGCTATGGCTAATTAATAGGGACACACACTTTCAACAGAAATGTGGCCATACCGATGGTCTTGATAGCATCTGACAAACATCAAGGATTATAGCAAATTTCTCAGTTTTATCTGATCGTGTTAGATACAAGAAAAAAGGAGAAAGAAGATGTAGAAGCCATAAACAATTTGATTTAAAATAGCATTGTTAGTATGGGCTTAAAGGCATCTATAAACACATAGGTTGACTTCTCACTACCCAAAAATCACTTTGGAGGAGCGGGAAGAGAGATAAGTAAGAAGATATGAAAAGAGGGAGAAATTATTGTAAAATGCTTGCTTGCAGGTTTCTCCACAGATCCATCAGCAAAGTTAGCATGGGCGGAGGGTGTCTCTGCTTTACACTCCATCCTCTCAATAAAAATCTGCTCTGGCAAAAGAGGGAATCTGTGCTGGCTTCAGCTGAATGCTTTTCTCAAAGATAACATTTTGTCATTTAATCAAGAACTCTGTCAAGACATCTGTTAGGGCACAGTGCAGTAACTTTTCTTAGGAAAATACCTTTCTAGTTTGAATGTACTGGGTGGCTTATAAATAAAGTCATTATTATTATTATTATTATTATTATTATTATTATTATTCCATCTTAAGAGGTCTCCACTGCCCAGTATCATAGGATGATTACTGTAATGCATTGTATAATACAACTTTATGCTGTCCAGATCCTTTCAGAGACCCCAGCAGGGTCAGAATGCATAATCAGACTGTGGATGAAGACGCAAAACTTTGAGGATATTTCTTTCACTTCTGATTTGTTTCTGACTCAATTCCAAGTGTAGGTTACTGTTGACAAATCCCTAAATCCAGGGTGAGGAAACTCTTTCAGCCTGAAGGCCAAATTCAAAGTCAGAGAAGTTTGAAATGGCATTCTACTGGTAGGCAGGTTTAAAAGCAAAAGGCTGGGATGAAAAGCACTAGAATAATTGATCTTGATCTTGATACTTGATCTTCAAGCTCTTATTGCCAGTGATTACATCCCATGAGAAGTCTTTCAGTCTTTTAACATGTAGGAAAACACACACAAATCAGGAAATCACCAGTCAAGGGTCTTGTCTTTGAGGAATCCTAAAGAGATATCTTGGATCGCAGGAGTTCTGTTTCACCACGCAACCTAGATAGGTTTTGATACTCAGATTCTTAGAGGTATTTTTAGTGTATGAAGTTTATTTTCCACTGGTTAAGCTTCTACTAGACCAGTGGTTCTCAATCTGTGGGTCCCCAGATGTTTTAGCCTTCCCAGAAATCCTAACAATTGGTAAACTAGCTGGGAGTTTAGGCCAAAACACCTGGGGACCCACAGGTTAAGAAACATTGTTCTAGACCCTGATGTTATTGCCCACATCCTCAGGAGGTCAGTTGGGACCATGTCATTTGTAATGGTACTTCATTTATAGAATATCTCATCTGTTTTTTTCCCCCCTGATACCAGACTAGACCCTATAAACATATTTAATAGGCCTGGGTAACAACGGAAAAATTTGTTTCTAAAATCGATTCGTTTTTTGGGGGTTTTTGCGTTTCGATATTTAAAAGAATTCCGAAATTTTTCTTTTAAAAAGTTTGATATTTACGAAATTTCGTAAATGTTAAAAAAATTACGAAACATTAACGAAACAAATATGAAACAATAACGAATCGATTCGTTAATGGCGGACGCGACCGCGCAATACGCTAAAAAACCTCCAAATGGGACAGGGGGAACTTCTGAAGCTTCCCTCTCCCTCTGTTGTTGACTGTTGGTGTGATATTATAATTTTTTTTCACTAATTAAAAAAAACAACTATAAAACTTGCCCCAGACATGCGGAAATAATAACGAAACGACCTCAAACCGATAACGAAACGAATACATAATGAATCCGAAGCATTTACGAAAGAAATTTAAAAATTCGTTTCGTTTTTAAGTTGCTCCAGAATGGTTCGTTATCGCTTCGTTATAAAAATAATAATGAATTTTTAACGAATTACGAATTAACGAAACGAAACCACCCAGCCCTAATATTTAACATTTAAAAATGAACTACTGAAATCATTTCAAATGTCACTTACCAAAACTCAAAGAATATCTCATCTTTCTTATTACAGTATATCCCCTGACTTAAGAATGTGTCATATAACTGCACTACACAACACATTTCACAATACAAAATTACACAGGAAGTTCAAAGAAGAGCTTCTGCATTTCAGGCAGTCCCTAAGTTACAAACAAGATACGTTCTGTAGGTTTGTTCTCAAGTTGAATTTGTATGTAAGTAGGAACAGGTAAAGTTTTAAGTGTAACTCCAGCCAAATATATATATAGTTCTTAGCTTTAGATAGCGTAGGAAAGGGTTAACACCCTCATGGTGTTTGTTTTACTGTCTGTGCCCCTTTTCAGAAGATTCCACCTCACTTCCTGTCCTTGTGATAATAGGATTTTGAAAAAAAATCACTTGTTGTAGAAACAAGGATTGGAGAAACGGCTTCAGTGGAGACACCTTTTCCACATGATAACTCTTTCAAGAGTGATTTTCTCTTTCTAGGGGTTGCTTACTCTCACTTCCTGTTGTCTCACCCCCATTCTTAACTATGAGTCATTTGTAAGTTGGATGTTTGTAACTTGGGGACTGTCTGTATTTTGTTCTTCAGTAACTTACTTCTTAACATTATTGGTTAGACAAAAAAAAGTAAACTTACTGGAATACTTGTGCTTGCCAGCATCCTCATCTGGAAAAGGAAGAACAAAAATTGTAGTAAATACATCTATCAACCAGATATACATAAGAGTATATCTCAGACACTGAAGACCCAGCAGGTAATGGCTTGCTGGGGTGTCATGTATTTGCTCCTTGTTGGAGCCTTTGTGGGAATTCACCTTAGTTTGAACCTGCCAGATACTACAAATCAATTGAACATACTTCTTTCTGAATGGGTTTCAACAACATATCTGGCTACTGCTCTGGCATTTTTACCATGAAGGAAATGGGACCTGGGATCTATTTCCTACCAGCTACTGTTCTATCTTCTGTGAGGTTTCGCATTTGTCAGTTGACAATGGCGCCTTTCTTCCATTCAATATTGCACTTCAACCAGTGGCTTGCCAACAGTTGGTCTGCTGTAGAAGCCCCAAGGGGAAAAAACACATAAGAACTTGAACTTTTCCCAGTTATGGCTTCTGACTGACTTCACTCAGATGCATCATTGTGGGATTGAAGAGATGCACTGGCAAGCCAGCAATCCTTTTTAGTCCTACAGGTGGGCTATGTAAAGTGGTCTCTATCATTTGACAGGCAGATGGGTTGGGTCCTGCCCATGCTGGGCCAACACTTAGCTAAGCAATGGATCTGTGGCCCATTTCAATTCCAACAAAAACGAAAGGTGCATTACCTCATGTAATGCCAATGATCCTTGATGGTATGCCACACTGAGACAGCCAAATTATTTTCTTAACCCCCTTTCTGGTATTGATTTAAAAACTTAGGGAGGCACCACTGAATTAAGCAAATGTGAATTCCCACAAAGGCTCCAACAAGGAGCAAATAGGGAATTAGATGTCCTCAAACCATACTTCCCCATGTGAAGACAGATCAAAATAGATTTCTTCTCTAGAAGAAAATTAAGAGTTTTCACATGTGATCATCTCACTTCATTGCAACTGAAGTGCAAATATCATTCTTCCATTTGTCAAAAATAGAAATTTCCATCACAAATCCTTTTCCATTACAATGAAATTGAAAAAAATATCATTTTTGGACTTTAATTCCCAGGATTCCCCAATCACAACAACTATTATATGCCCATTCAAAAAGTAGCGTTATCAAGTTTTGTCTTTAATCTAAATGCATAAGTACGAACTACTAAAAAAATCTGTACTACCTTGTCCTAATCATTTTTAAAAGACCAGATAGCACGTTAGCAGTGTGACTCAAAATTCCCATGCAACACTTTGAAAAAGTGAGCTGAAAAACATTTTGGGTACTGATGTCACAGTTGACATCAGCACTCAAAATGTTTCTCAGCTCACTTTTTCAAAGTATTGCATGGGAATTTTGAGTCACACTGCTAAAATGAAAAAGTCTGAGGCAGCTATGAATTACATTCAGGGGAGGGGTTTTTTTCCCCGGAAAAACAGTGCTTTGTATAGCACAGGCAACTTTTCATGTTTAAGATGCATTCTACGCAGGACAGATAAATAGGCTTCTATACAATAGTTTCCAACTGTCACAGCCGTAGCCCTTTAGTGTTTAGTCAGCCATAAGAGCTTTAGATTTCATTATATGTGCCTTATCAAGTACTGTGCCTAATTAAATTAGACCCTTGGAGATTGTTAGTGCTGCTTTGAAAGATAATAGCATTTCACACATTTTAACAGGCTGCTTGTGTCTTGACCACACAGGATTTCCATCAGGCTTACCTGGCTATTAAAAATGGACAACATTCCTTTTTGAGATGCTGTTAGTATAAAATCCAGCTGTGTTATCTTTACTATGCATTTTATTACATCACGTCTCTTGACTCCTGCCAAAGGCAAAAACATTGACAGATTTAAGGAATTAGGTAATGCACAAAACGAAAAACAAATTGGGAAGGGTCTAATTTAGGGTTCTGCACATAAGGTGAATTCCAAATCCTACCAAGAGTTCCAACTAAAATAGACCCATTCAATGAAATGTTGATTATGAATAAACACTCCGCAATTCCCACTGATTCAATGGGTCTACTTTAGTTGTGAATACCAATTAGAATCAAAGCAAAATATGTAGTGATTAAGTTCAAATCTTTAAAAAGTTGACTACCTATTTTTACTGATCCAACTAAGCTCCATTCAATCAAACTACAAGAAAGGAGATTCCATATGAACATTAGGAAGAACTTCCTGACTGTGAGAGCCATTCAGCAATGGAACTCTCTGCCCCGGAGTGTGGTGGAGGCGCCTTCTTTGGAAGCTTTTAAACAGAGGATGGATGGCCAACTGTCAGGGATGCTCTGAATGCAATTTTTCTGCTTCTTGTCAGGGGATTGGACTGGATGGCCCATGAGGTCTCTTCCAATTCTATGATTCTATGAAGTTGGAGAAGCTCCAAGTATGGTTCTCCCCCATTGAGTCCAGATAGCATTGTTTAAGAGAGGATTTCAAATGTGAATTCAGGACCTCATTTCATGAGAATTGCAGCTCATTTATAGCTAGGAACTTGCAGTTTGTATTTGATGTAGAACACTTAGAATCATTAGAGTCATAAGAGTTGGAAGAGCCCACAAGGGCCATCTAGTCCAACCTCCTGCCATGCAGGAATCCATAATCAAAGCAGTCCTGGCAAGTGGCTATCCACTCTCTGCTTAAAAACCTCCAGGGAAGGATACTCCATCATGCTACAAGTTAATATATTCCACCAATGAACATAATATTTTTCATAATGCTTAGATTCAAATCTGGGGACCAGAGTGAGCTCCTGCTATTAGCCCCAGCTTCTGCCAATCTAGCAGTTTGAAAACATGCAAACTCGCTCTGATGGGAGAGTAATAACACTTCGTGCATTCATGCCAGCCACATGACCTTGGAGGCATCTACGGAAAACGCTGCTCTCCAGCTTAGAAATGGGGATGAGCACTAACCTCAAGAGTCGGACACAACTAGATTTAATGTCAGGGGAAAACCTTTATCTTAACATTTAGATGGAATGTTTCCCCCCCTACAATTCAAATACATTGCTTAGAGAAAATATTGGGAAAGAGTTGCTGAGAGAAGAGTGGTCAGACCTTACCCTTCACCTCCTCATTCCAATTTAAGTGCCCCCTCTTTAGATGTTGTCTCCCCCAAAACCTAAAGTGAAAATAGGATTATTAACCACCTTTCTTACCCCAAAGTAGAGATGGTGAATAGTGCCATTCAGGCTGAACTATGTGCAGTTTGGTATACCTTAGTTGATGACGCAGTTAAAGTGGTTCTAAGAGATGGATCTGGCATTGAACTGACAAAGTGCAACTTTAAGTCTGCATTTTGTTTTTTTGCTGATCCATCCAGCTGACTTCAAGCTACTGGAATTCTCACCTGATAGCATGCTTTACATGGATTTGAACCTTCCTTTCAGGTACTCATTTTCATATACTTCCTCTGAGAGTTTCAGGTTATTTCTTGAATGGGCTATTAAATTCAACACGGAGCTACAGGGACTATTTTTTTCTGTGTTTGATGCATGATCGGATGGGCATATGGAAAATTATTATGACTCATAACCACTGGAGCAATATTATTTATGTCCAGCAATGAAAAAATAAATCAATACCAGTATGTGAGTACTGGCTGCTGAAACTGACTTAGCTGATATGGACAAAATCACTCTGGTGAGAGGGAAGTCATTAGTAACATTTTTGAGAGATTGGGAATATTTAATTTGCATTTTTCAAAGAAAAGAGAATAATATGTGAAATCTTAGCTTTGGTAATTCGTAAATTTGGTTAAAGCAGTAGCATATGAGTGGTGAGCGTAATTGGAGATTACTTTATATATTGCATATAATCATCAGGAAACTTGGAAGTTAAATGTAATTTCCTTTTTCTTAACTGTATTGTTCTTGTTCTTTTTTTTCTTTCTATCTTTCCTTCTTTCTTTTTCCCTTTGGGTTTTTCCAATATTGTAATATATTAGAAAGTGGATAGTAATACCTAGATGAAGGTTGATATTAATGCTAATAGAATTTAGCTAGAGCTGATCTCAGAAGAAAAAAATAACTCTAAGTTGGAATCATTTAAAAAGCAATTAAAACTTATCACGGAACTGTTTAAGATAGATGTTCAATGAGTTAAGAATCTTAAATAAATCAATATGAGATTGATGATATATAAATTGTTCCCCTTACTGAGATTCTTTGTTTCATAAATACATCATCTATCTATATACATAATAAAAGTGAAAAAATGTGAATGTGTGTATGTGGCGGAGGTTTCCACTTACAGAGTTTTCCACCTCCACAAACAGGCTATAGTTCCAAGTGCTGAGAAGCCTCCAAAGGCACTCCCTCAACTGACATTGCAGATTATAGTGAGCGCCATGACCATGTAGCCCAACACACTGCCAATGTCCCCCCAAACACTAACCACCCAAGGAATGCTTTCATTTGGGGACAATTTCATCCTAGATTTGATGTGTTTCATCCACCACAGACAGGTTCCTTGTATGGAATTTGCATGATCCCACCCATTGCCTCTCCCTTAACACTTTTCTACCTTTTCTTATGGCACTCAGCAAACACAAAAGAATTGATCAGCAACTGAACAGACTGGAGGGGTTTGGGGGACTGACACACAGGATTGAAGTTGTAGTTCACCCTGCATCAAGGCAGAGCACTCTGACCCCCTTTGATAATGGACCTGTATGACATTTGGTGTGCAGAACCCGCATGACCAGGTTTGGGGAAATTGCCCTTGATTTATGGGAGTTGTAGTTTGCCTTATCCAGAGAGGACTGAACCCAGCCAATGATGGATCTAGGCCAAATTTTGCACACAGAACCAACATGGGCAACTCTGATTACTGGCTGGGTTTGTGGGTGATTGCCCTGGGAATCTGGGAGTTGTAGTTCACCCTTATTTAGATATCACTGAATCCAGCTGATATTGGATCTGGACCACACAGACTCAATATGGCCAACTTTGAATAATGGCAGGATTTGGGAAAGATTGACTCACAATTCTGGGAATTGTAGTTCAACCACATCCTTATGCATTTTCTATTGGGAACATTCATAAAAAACAAAAAGAAACACTTTTTTTTTAAAAAAAAAATAGTGTTAGACATTACCAAACTGATATTATCAAACTTCAAAAAACAAACAATGCCTTTCTCAAATAACCTGGGCACCGCTGGGTCCCCAGCTAGTAATAAATAAAACTAAAAATCTCACCTGCTTTTGTAATTCGCTGTTTTTTGGATACTAGGAAAACCATATTTTCTTCATCAAGTTGAGCAGCGAGAGCATCACCCTCCAGTATATAGTACCCAAAGATCTAAAGTCAAGGATGGCAAAAAAACAATGAAAAATGGATACAAGGTATATGTGGAACACATATATGGACAGGCTGACAGTCATATACACAAACCCCTTCCCCCTCTTCTCTTTGTGCCTAATATGTAACAGTTTCTGACATCAGATACAGGATAGCCCCAATAAACATGGAGACTGTATCCATTGTTTCACTTACCTGCATACAGGAAGAAATGGTCTTTCTATTAATTTTCTAGTCATCCAGGTATTTCTATCGTATGTTTTCCCCCAAAAGTTGCCCTAAAGTCACTCTGGAAAAGCTAGTAAATTCTAGGAAAAGAAAGCTCTTTTGAAATTTCTGATCCTCTGTGGAAACTCTTATGCTTGGACCAGAAGTCAAGTAATTTAATGGTGTTTGTGTTTTGGGGTTTGTAGTTTAGGGAGGGGCTCAGCCAGACAAGTCCCGAGATTCACTAAACCACAAACCCCAGAATTCTGCAGGAGGCAGCAACTGGATTTAATGTGGATCCATGCTCTAGTGTGATGTCTCTGCCACCATGTTATTCAGGAAATAATTTCAAAAATGGGGAATCAGATATGCACCTCCAACTAGCAGAATCTATTCAGCCCTATAATTTTACAGGAATAAGTAGTAAGGGATATTGTATGAGAACCTGATGAACATTTTTTTTGTAATGGAGGAATCATTATGGCTTGTAAAATCTGGAAGCATGTGCTGTGAAGTCAGTCAGAGGAGATATTACAAAATCACCCTGCAAATTGGGAAATTTTAACTGAAATTTTAACTTTTGACACATCCAAAGACTGAATAGAACTAAGAAATATACTGTTGCTGCTTGACATCCTCACACTTGGAATTTTCATCTTTAACATTTGTTAGGCACTTACGGTTGAACATTTAAAAAGGTAGTGATATGGGCAAAATTGAAAAGTTATGTTATGTTGGCCCATAAAAAGCACACGAAGTGGGCATAAATTATAGGATGACTCCAAAACAAGGCACTCTTTTTTTACACTATTGAAGTGGAAGCCAAAATATCAAATATATTACAAGATATGACAGGGAGAGAGATATTACAAAATCAAATATACTTTTAGTCATTGTATCTTTCCATATGATTTACAGGTAAGATGATTTAGGGGTTACTCAGTAAATATAGTCTTTGAGTGAGAAGTAAATTTAACAGAGCAAATAAATAAACTTCAGCTAAGCACCTAAATCTTAAAAGCTTTAAAAGAGTTGCAGCTGAATTTTTGGTGTGGTAAGTAGACCTGATCTATATATTTTATTTTCACTTGCTCTGGAGAATCTTTATATTTCTCATGTTGTCAAAGGCTTTATATTCTTTTCTCAAAAACTGGTGAAATATTATGTTGTGCTCATCAAAATGGTCTAGGAGTGCTTTGGTAGTTAACAACTGTTGCAGTTGCCAGGACCAAAATTGCATGCGCAGCTTGGGGGGCCTCCTGGACTCATCACTGAGCCTGGAATCCCAGGTTGCAGTGGTGGACAGGAGAGCGTTCACACAATTAAAACTTGTGTGCCAGCTGCGCCCGTACCTTGGGGAGTCAGACTTGGCCACCGTGGTCCATGCTCTCGCTACATCTAGGATAGACTATTGCAATGGGGTTGCCTTTGATGACTGCTCGGAAGCATCAAATAGTCTGAGAGGTTAATAACTGGGGCAGCATACAGGGAGCATACAACTCCCATGTTACTCCAGCTCCACTGGCTTCCAGTTTGCTACTTGGCACAATTCAAAGTGCTGGCTTTGGCCTATAAAGCCCTAAACGGCACTGGCCCAATTTACCTGTCTGAATGTATCTCCCCCTATGAACCAGCACAGAGATTAAGATCCTCCGGGGAGGCCCTGCTTTCCATCTCACCATTGTCACAGGCGCGATTGGTGGGGACGAGAGACAGGGCATTCTCGGTGATTGCTCCCCAGCTATGGAACTCCCTTCCTGGTGACATCAGGTCGGCCCCCTCCCTCCTGTCCTTCAGAAGAATGGTAAAAACTTGGCTGTGGGACCAAGCTTTCGGGACAGGGCAATAAAGCAGTAATGGGAAAGATAACCAGGCCAATTAGATTTGATGCTGATGACTAGGACAGTTTTAAATAGTGTATTTTAATATTTTGATAAATGCTTTTAATGTTTATGTGTTGTATGTGAATCTGTGTCCCGGCATTGAATGTTTGCCATGTATATGCTGTGCTGCGCCCTGAGTCTCCTTGGGGGTGAGAAGGGCGGAATATAAATGTTTTAAATAAATAAATAAATTACTACTGTTTCCTATTTCCCCATTTTTTTAAAAATCATTAATCAATTTATTTTCTGTGATTTAGGAAATCTTTTTTTTTTTTTTGTATTATTTCTGCCTCTGGTGTCAAATTTTCTGTTAAGGATGTAAGGCTTGGGAAGCCATCTATTCTGTAAACCAAGAAATACCTGTATAACATAAACTATTGAAACATCAATAATGAATAAGGTGAGGAATCAATAGCAACTGTCCCAGCCTTCTTTTCTTGAAGGCTGGAATATCTGCACTCTATGGGGAAAAAAAGATTAGAAAAAATATATAAATTCTTCTCCAAATCTTATATATTTTGCATATTCTTATTCAACTTTTTATCTGTAGCCCCATGTGTTGAAATCCTAAATATTAGAGAGCACTTTCCTCAGGCTTTACTGGCCAGAGTTGAAGATATTTGCAGCCCAACCACTGCGCCGGGGGGGGGGGGGGGGGGGGGGGCAACCTGATTCCCACTTACAAGACCAAAAGAAAATGCTCTTTTAAATTCTGGAGAAGACAAGAATGATTTAGAGATAGGTGAAGAATGATCTAAATGCAGCTATCGAAAGGTTAATGATGTAATATATGAAACACTTAGCTATGGTCTAGTGATTTAACTGGTGAAAAGGACTCTGTAATCAGTAGCACATTCATCTGAAGAGAGCTATATGGGCTTTAAATGCCAATCTAACCACTTCTAAGTGCTCATGATGTTCACTGCTACAGTAGTATAATCATGAGAGTCAGAGGTAACATTTCAAATGAGAGCTGATGAATAGAAAACTTCAGGATATACAAGCTCATTTTTATCAGAAGAGATCATAGCTCTTAGGAGACTTAAATTTAGGTAGACCATGGGTGGTTTCTATTTTTATTCATTAGAAATCTTGCCAGAAGTTAGTCCCAAATGATCAGATTCTGAGTCAGGAGAGCAAATAGACAGTGGGACCAAAATCACATAGTTGGGTCATAGAAGGCAATGATAAAATCCCCAAATAAGCAATCAAAGAAGGATTAGGAATTGGCAATATGCTTTCCATCACATGCTGAGGACTTCATCCCATGAAGTCTTTTCTCTGTCTTCTCCCTATCTCTCTGGACTGCCGAAACGGAGTCCCACAGAGGCCATCACGTGACACAAGTAACTTCCAGTGGTTGCCCATGGGACTCCATTGTGGCAACACAGGGAAAAGGGGAGAGGATTGTATTTTCAGGAGTCAGGTGCTACCCGATTACAACCAACAGAAGGCAGAGAGAAGCCAGACAGATGAGGGGAAAGGACATGAGATGGCTATGATCCTTGAAGACGGAAAGGCATAGGACCTTGATGGTGGGGGGGGGGGGGGGAGAGAGAGAAGACAGTTGCCTCCACTGATGAGATACTTAGTAATGGAAGATAGCTATAAAGTTAACAGGCTGTGCTGGCTAACCTCAAATATCAGGTGTTCCGACAGTTAAATCACAACCACACCAATTGTACAAGTACACAACTGGGAATAATATTCACAAAAATCACTATGCCAAATCCAAGGATAATCCAGAGAAAGAGTAGTCCAAAGTTCAAATCCACAAGTCAAGGCTAGAGCAAACAGGTCAACAATAATTCAAAGCAGTGGTTAAGGTCAGTGAAATACAACCAGTGGGTACAGCACGAATGCAAGTTACTCCCACAGCTAGTTTTTACTGCTGCTTTATAGTAAGACAGCAAGCTATGGATCCTGACTGCACTTTCACAGTTTCTCTCTAAATCTGCAGGCTAAGGTGTTACCACATTTCTATCCTCCTCTGGTGCCTCTGGCTCTGGGAAGAAGTCTATATTTATTTTTTATTTATTTTATTTACCGTATTTATACCATGCCTTTCTCTACCCCAAGTGGGACTCAAGGCGGCTTACATATGGCAATTATTCAATGCCTTAAAAACATACGATATTAAGCTTAAAATCCATTGAATTAAAATTAATACATATTCAAATTTTAAATTTATATCCAGATTTAGGTATCGAATTCTCTCCTGCTCATGGCTCTGAAAAGTCTCCAGAGGTAACTTCTCGCTCAGGCTTGAGGCACAGGCTGACCCAGTACACAGGCCTAGATCCAATTCTTTATTCCAATTATGGTAGACCCATTGAATTAATCAAACTGATTAAGTATTGACTTGCAAATTTCCAGCTGACTCAATGAGTCTATTTTACTTGAGACTAACAGGATTATACCACCGCAAGAGGAGACGCACACACATTGGTTACTTGGGTCAGTTTATGTGAATGACTATCTGGCATTAGGCTTTGTATTGCAGCCTAGATAACATTTTTAAGAACCACAGATTAGTCTGAAAAGGCTGAGGAAAGAAATTCCAGTCATAATGATGTAAGAGATACATTGCTGGAGCATGGGCAATGAGCTTTCCATAATTACACAGTACAGACACAAACCTCTCTGCATACAGAAGACAATTGAAAGCTTAGGCCTCCCCAGAAGACAGATGGGGAAATAAGATATGCTTTCCCCTCTTTGTAATCTGGATTTCTGTTCTTAGTAGATTGTTCTCCTTGATCTCAATAAAGCCTTACCCTGATCTGTGTCATTAGTTCCAGCACAGGTCTTCAGATGATGGCATATTTATCTAGGCATATGTATCACAGACAAGATCTACTCTGGACACATTGCTTAATTAATGAATTGTATGCAACTTAAACTTACGTTGGGTCCCTACATTAGGGAGTTCTAACCATATGGAGCATTTGTGTTCCATTCTTGGCAAGCTATAGAAAATGTGAGAAAAAGGCATTGCAAGGTCAAACATTAGCAGTTCACTGTACTATGACAATCCCCAGCATGCTATTCATCAAACTAACCACCTCTCAACCTTCCCTCCACATTTAAGTGAAACTTTTCCGATGAGAATGGGTTAATTCTTCATTTTCCTTCATTAGATCGAGAGTCAGGACTTCATCACATGCAATAATGGATAATGATTTAAATCGGTGACCACTGACTATTTGTTGTCTGTTTTTATATTGTTTATAAGGTTTT